CCACTCACAAGGCCACTGGGTGTGTGTGTGTGTGTGTGTGTGTGTGTGTGTGGTGTGTGGCCACTCACAAGGCCACTGGGTGTGTGTGTGTATGTGTGTGTGGGTACTGGGGCCTGAACACTGCTCCTTAATTTTGTTGCTCAAGGCTGGAGTTCTACCACTTGAACCACACAATCACTTTCTGTTCTTTTGGTACTGGCTGGCTTTGAACCGTGATCCTCAGATCACAGCCTCCGGAGTAGCTGACAGGCGCGAGCCGCAGGCGCTCAGCTGGGCCCTGGTCTTGGGATGCACTCTGGGGGAGGCTTGCCGGCCGGGCGGCAGCCTGAGCGGAAGGTGACACTCTTTGAGCACAAGTACGTTGTCCTTACTCTAGAGAAGTGTGTGGGGGCTGGCTCCCCGGCTGCAGGGTCGCGATGTGCACGGCGCCAGGCTCCCGTGCAGCAGCCCTGCTCGCTGACAGCAGAGGCTGTGATCCTGACTCTCCAGCCCGCCTACCCACTCTCTCCCTCCTTCCCAGAGGCTGAGCTGGCCGCTGCTCCCAAGTCCTGGCGGCCTGACTTCTGGCAGGGGTTTGCTCTGGAGGGGGCAGCCCAAGGGGGGAGGCAGGAGAGGGTGGAGAGGGCTGGGGGGCAGCTCGAGGGAGGAGGCAGGAAGAGAGGGTGGACAGGTCTGTGGGGGCAGCCCGAGGGAGGAAGCAGGAGGAGAGGGTGGACAGGGCTGGGGGGTCAGCCTGAGGGAGGAGGCGGGAGGGGAGGGTGGACAGGGCTGTGGGGGGGCAGCCCGAGGGAGGAGGCAGGAGGAGAGGGTGGACAGGGCTGGGGGGAAGCCTGAGGGAGGAGGCAGGAGAGGGTGGACAGGGCTGTAGGGGGGGCAGCCCGAGGGAGGAGGCAGGAGGAGAGGGTGGACAGGGCTGTGGGGGGGGCAGCTCGAGGGGGGAGGCAGGAGGAGAGGGTGGTCAGGTCTGGGGAGGGGGGCAGTCAGGTCTGACAGCCAGCTCTCAGGGGCTGTGTGCAAAGCCTGAAGATGCACATCAGCATGGCCAACTTCAAGTGAGCTGTGGGAGGCAGAGTGGGCACTGTGTGGGCACGGCCACCTCTCCCTTCTGTCCTACGGAGGGGAGATGCCACAAACCGTCCTGAGACAGCGGAGCCAGTGTGGAGAGGAGCCTGTCCTGCTCTAACAGCCTGTTAACCCCTTCACAGCAGGAGTGCTTGGTCAGACTCACACATCTAAACCCTTCGCAATCCTTCCTGGCTACTGGAGCTCAGCCCGGGCCAGGCTGGCACCGTCTGGCTCTGTCCCTATCTGGGATGGGTGAATCCTGGCTCTCTCCAGCAGCTTTCCCTTTGTCCCATGGCCTGGGCGGTCCAGGAGGCAGGCCATACTTTTTTTGTTGTTGTTTTGTCGGTCTTGGGGCCTGAACTCTGGGCCTGGGCGCTGTCCCTGCGCTCTTCAGCTCAAGGCAAGTGCTCTACTGCTTGAGCCACAGCACCACTTCCGGTTTTCTGGTGGTTTACTGGAGATAAGAGTCTCAGGGACTTTCCTGCATTTTAACCGGGTCCTCAGATCTCAGCCTCCTGAGTAGCTAGGATCACAGGTGTTAGCCACACGCCCCATGGCCACACATTTTTATGTCTTTCTTCTCTGAAGAAAAGATTTGGGGACACCACCAAGACAGGTGACCTTGAGCAGAGGAAGGCTTGATAAAGGGGACCACAGTCCCCCGAGGGGTTGTTAGGCCCTGGCCAGAGCTGGGGTGTGTGTGTGTGTGTGTCTGGGGTGTGTGTGTGTGTCTGGGGTGTGTGTGTGTGTGTCTGGGGTGTGTGTGTGTGT